CTAAACTTTCCTTGGTTCAGGTGCATGCCATAATCTGGAAAAAAACACCTCGGGTTCAAGAAGAAATGCATGCTTACTGATCACACTTTACTATGCAAACCATACATTCCTAGCTATCAGAGAATGAAGACAAATCAAACAAGGAAACTAAATGAACTCATTTTTAAAACTCCTTATTTCGGTAAATGAAAAGTTTGATCTCTGAATAACAACTACATGATCTTGTAGAGTCATGGGATCCTGTTTATTGTAGGTACTCTCCACCAGTATATCGCTCAACATATCAGTCGAGAGTCAGTCGATACTCGACTGATATATTGGTTGACACTCGGTCAATAGTTGGTCGACACTCGGTCGATAGTTGGTCGACACTCGGTCGATAGTTGGTCGACACTCGGTCGATAGTTGGTCGACACTCGGTCGATAGTTGGTTGACACTCGGTAGATAGTTGGTCGACACTCGGTCGATAGTCATTTACCCTATCTATGAATAACAGAGGAAGAAAGAAACAGGTCCATGTACTGATATGCCATTTAAGGTTGAATAATTGCAAGTTTGAGATATTTGTGTTGAAAATAGTAAGACTGTGAAGCTTTATAGGGTAAATTGAGCTGCTATAACATACCTGGTTTTTGGAAGTTTATCGCCACCATCTGAATACCAGCATTCCACATGGTCTGCGGATTATAGTTTGACGAGTCAACTCGTGATCCTTTGGGGTACGTTCTAACAATGTGCTTGTTGGCCAAATACAAAATATCTACAAAGTGAATCAATAGCATTAGATCTTCAATAAGTATGAGCATCCATTTTTAAAAAATCACTTAAAACAGTCATGCGAGAGTGTGTAAATGTACATGAAACGTGTCATTTTGTGATGGATCTTAAATGTGTGGGATGCAACAAGTTCTGAGGTTCCACCTCTGAATAAAGCACTCAGAATTTCCTTCTTCCTCTGAGAGTTTCAGCTTTCAAAACCATTACCTTCACGAAAAAAATCCAAAATGTCTCCATTTAGAATCTCTTTGAGAAAAACGTTTTCTCCTCAGTTAATATCAAAACCACATGGAAGGCTAAGACACCTACGTTACAATAAAGGCATGTCTTGTGTGTTTTTAAACAGAATAGGGAAAACTTCCAAAAGGGATCAACACATAACTTCTCATGACAATATTGATGCATTAATTAACAAAAAGGGAATGAGAAAAACAAAATACCAGCTAGGGGATGTTGTCTTGATGTAACACCGAATTCTCTTCACTAGTTTACAAGGAAATATAAGCTAACAGGAAGGGAGAATTAAAATTTAGATCCTGGTAGGAAAAAAGGTATGTATTGCCATCTATATGTTCACACCTCTCGGATGTCCTGTAATGGCATCTTGCGCTGATCCATCGTTAAATGAGTACATCTCACAACAATCACCAGAGACTTCACCCCTCTTGTAAGGCACTGCGCGCATATACACAATCAGTTTTCCCATGGCATCCTCTAATGGAACCTACAAAACCACAATGATGGTGAAATAAGAGATCAATATGGTCTTACAAACAAAACACAAGTAAATTGTATGCCCCCCCCCCCCCTCCACAACAATATATAAAAGAACCCTTCTTCTGGAATGTCTGTCTGTTCATTTCTTTAATTATCACAATGGAAACTGAACATTCAGAGCACTTACTATAGGATACTGCTCTTCACTTGTTGAGCTCTGTAATGAAATATAGAACATGGTACATGAAAAATGCTCTGGTCATGGAATCGATATTAACTTTGATTTAACATAACTTCTACGTTCTTTTACAAGCCATTAGATGCCCTTTTGCTCAGTTATGTCATGTTTTAGCCCCCAATTCTACTATCTTTCCATTTGACAAACTAGTGGTTCTACTCTGATCTGGGAAAAGAAAGGTGTTCTTAAAGCAAACTGCCAAAAGAGATATACATAAGCTCACAACACTTGCACAGTAAGGGCAAAACATCTACTTTAACTGATAAACATGGACACCTCAAATCACATTTGTACAAATTAAACACAGATTTTATTTAATAATTCTTAAATAAATTTTGTTATTCAATTGTACACTGCATGCTTTTTATTTTTTATTGACTTTTATGTACTTTTTACTGGACACTGATTGACTGACTGGTCTTTAATCAGGATAAATAAAGTTATATTCTGTTTTTCACTTAGCAGATCTTGAGCTGGAATCTGAATAACTCAATCCAGTGAGTATACATTGTAGCTGAATGAAGATTATTGTGTGCACAACTTGAATATATGCCAAGGAAAGGTCAGTGAGAATTTATCGGGCTTTTATTATATTTAAAACTCTGGTTAAAACCAACAATCAGCAGTAAAGTTGTTGACAAATTTATCTTTTCATCCCTAGTACTTCAATTTTATCTCTTTTCCCCTTGTGACATTAACCATTTTGCCCCCTTCCCCCCAAAACAATTGTTGTATCATGATTCCATGAACTTTTAGCCAACACTGACTAGGTGAGGGAACTGCTAATGATTCTGAGTGTGATAGAAACAGGACTGTTATTCTTTACAAAAATAGAACCTTGTAAACATAATGTGTCCTCTAATTTTGATTCCGATTGTAGCTATATGCACAAATGTCTAGATTACAATGATTTGCACACTTAATTGGCTCAAGTCTGGAGAGTGGATGAATTTGTTCCATGCTATGTTCATTTAAAAACAAAAAAAAAGAAAAATCAGTGAACCCTATTAACCTTATCATCTGTCATTGTGGTAGTTGTTGCAGATCTTACTCTAGCACCCAGCGATTGTGAGGATGGTGTTCTTGCTAACATTGCTTCAGACTGTTGACAAAAAAAATAAGAGCAGTGGACTAAAAACATCCTGTTGACACTGAAATATTAGCCAAGGGCAAAAGTGACTACTGTATGAGAGGAGGTATTTAAACAAAACAAAACAAAAAATCAAAAGTGGTATTTTATCATAACTCTAGTTGAAGCTTATCTGTACATGTAAGACCTGACAAGCCAACATAACAAAACTTTCCGCTGTGTAAATAAAGAAAAGCCTAGCCTTGACCTATAGCTCTTCTCCACTTCTCCTTCTACAAACTCATCATTTAAGAAGAAAAGTAGTAAAGTTCAGTACCTGACTTGAAACTAGCACTCTACTGGTCTTTTTTACCCTTGGAGTAAGACCCTATTTAAGATAAAGCCAATTCATTAACATCTAAAGTGAAGAACAAAACTTACAAATATTACTTTCTCCAAAAATATGACCAAGACTGAATGCTAAATCAGTATCAAGAGTCTTTTAAAGGTTTAGTATAAGTCAAACCAACTGTAGTGATACAAAACCATTGCAAAGAGTTTAACATTTAGCAATTAGTTTGACTTTTGGTGGACTGTAAAAGGAGAATAATAGGTTGCTAGCTGTGTGAAGTCCACAATATTAGAAATATTTCAGCACTACCTGTTCTCCCTTCACCTGATGTCAGAGTCAAATACTTACTGAGAGTATAGGGGTAATAGCAGTTGATATCTTGTGCTGAAGGATTTAAAACAAAATAAAAGTTATAAATAATTGAAATCAGAGCCCATTTATAACTCAGACAAGGACAAAAAGAGCCTTGGTTAAGTCAATGAAAGTGCTCGTTAAAATGATGATCTTACCTTTTTCTTGACTTTAATTTTACCTTTCAGTAAAATTTTTCTCTTGAGCTGATTGGGTGAAGGAAGAGTGTTGATACCCAACTCATCACAGAGGTTATGTGTTGCAAGCATATCACCAAGCTCGCACACAAAAATGTCAGCCATGATCACCTGCAAATTGATCAGCAAATATGAGACAAAATTTATCATCTAAATTCCTGAAGGAGTGTTCGTCATAACATCAAAATGTTATCCCAAGAACCTACTTGTTGTTGTTCACAGCAGTGGTTTTCCAGGGACAAAATCAAAGGGAGTTCTGTTGTCTCAAACGCATACTCCTAGAAAAATACAGGATGAAGAAGTTAACGTTTGCACCCTAATGTCAGAATTAATTTTCTCTGTCCTCCAAACATTTCCCGGGTCATCAACAAGGTGCAATTGTCAAGAAGGAGTTTCTTAAGTTGGAGATCACTTTGTTTCCTCTCATAACCTTGATGTGTAATACAGGAGTGATAGTTTAAAACAAAATTAGATGCTAATCACTCTTAGTGTTCATAAGGTTAAAGTAAGGTTTGCATTATGCATGTTTTCCTCTAACTTTTATTTTGCTTGTAATCAGTACATGCAAGTCAAGTTGCTTACTCTGCATGCATCATGCAAAGAGAAAAAAATTTTTAACCCCTATTTTTCTTAACATAAAAAAAAATGGTTTGCTTCGTGTATTGTTATTGGAGAAGTTTTCAAAAGTAAAATTTTGAAAACCCAATTCATATTGTGAATATATCTTATTAACCAAGCACGAGGGCCATACTAGGAGAATATCGGCCTGAGGTCTTGACAGTCTGGACCAAGCGCAGCGAGGTCCATACAAAAAAGACCGAGGATCGATATTCTTCCAGTACGGTCCCAAGCAAGCTTGGTTAATAAGAGATTTATTATTATACGACTGAAGTTCAAAGGGACACAAGTGCGGTATCATTCGGGACCATTTGGGACAGTGCCCGGTCCAATACTKAGAGAATATTGGACCGGCAATAGAGCATTTTGATTGGTTGATTTTAGTTATTGGCCCTCTGACTGCCCGAGTTGTGTAATAATAACTGTTATAATTGTTACAAGTATCAACCAGTTAAGAAGAATATACAGTGAAAATATTCTCAGCAAAGATTACACAAATGTAAATCAACTCTAAGGAAAATGCTGCACGTTGTTCCAGAAGCAAGACATCTTCAAACCAGGATGAGACAAAGCTTAACGGCCCATTTTCTGTCTACAGACTTTCTAAAATATTTTACGCTTGCTTTCAACCACTCTCTTGAGCATAGTCTTTTTCTCTCCCTCAGGGAAGGATCCTGCACTTAATTCTCAAACAGTAGCTGGTGTGTGTAAAATTAAGAGCTTAAAATAAGTGGTACATTGATAGATAGATAGATAGTTTATTTGTAAAAAAAAAAAAAAAAAAAAAAAAGCTTGCAGCCACTGAGCTGAATTGTGTATTTACAATAAAGTATAAAATATAACTTATAATAGTAATATGATTGTATTAAGGCCCTAAATAAATAATAATATCCTACAAATATGATGAAAGCTTGAACTGTTAAAATATATACAATGGCATCGATCTCATTTAAAAAACTCACCAAGCACTAAAATTCATTGTTAATACATGATCTTACTAAAAAACTATTTTTGAAACACTCGGTCTTACATTTGGGAATCGCAAAATGCCTTTTGCACCAGAGATTATAACACGATGGCCCTGATGATTGAAGCATTTTATGTAAGCGATGGGCTGGGTCATTAGCAATTGAGAGGAAGGTCTTCTTATATTTATTAAGCTAGCGACGTAGTCATTGATAGACATAATATTTGAAAGCTCTAAGGCCTCTCTATATTGAAAAAACAAGACATCACTCCTACCTTAATAACTTGCACCACATCTCTGAACCTGATTTTAGATGTGAGTGTAAGTCCATGTGTTATCACAGGCTCATCTGAAATTCAAAGACACACCTTTATGCTTTCATATTGCAAAAGAATGTCATTAATTAAAAAAAAAAAGTCGAATAGGCATCTAATAGTAAAGAAGTAAATGACAAGCACCTATAGGTACATCGGTTCCTCTATTTTGAATCAATACCTTACAACAACATTGAAATAACACTGTGTTGTACCTATTGTAAAAATATGTAGAAGCATGCAAGCACTTCATCTTTCATTGTCCATCCACTCAAATCAAAACTACAGTTATTAGTAATAAGTTATGGTACAACTAAATCACTGAGTATGTGAAACAACAACATACAAAACTTAAGACTGATGTAAATATTTATTACTTTATTACTGAATAGGCCAATTCTGAATTACCTTTGACCTCTTTTTCAAAACAAAGCCTAGTGCTCATCCATTCCTGTGAAAATGAGTTTAATTTGCAAGTGAATGAAAGCTTATTATCACAGGAAAGGATGAGCACCAGGACTCGCTTTGAAAAAGAGGCAAAAGATAATTATTTTGGAAATGGACTATTCAAAACTTTGATTTTAGTAAATTAAGAAATTATAGCAATATCTCACGGTAATCAGATAAGACATACATCTCTCCCTAGTTTGTGTCAGTAAGTACATAATTATATCTTACTAACCAAGTGCGAGGGCCATACTGTGAGAGTATCAGCCTGAGGTCTTGACATTACGGACCGAGCACAGCGAGGTTCGTACAAAAAAGACCGAGGGCTGATATTCTTCCAGTAAAGTCCCGAGCAAGCTTGGTTAATAAGAGATTTATTATACGACTGAAGTTCAAAGGGACACAAGTGCGGTGTCATTCGGGACCATTCGGGACAGCGCCTGGTCCAATACTTAGAGAATATTGGACCGGCAATAGAGCATTTTGATTGGTTGATTTTAGTTATTGGCCCTCTTACTGCCCGAGTCGTGTAATAAATATCAAATATAGTCACTCTGTCCTAATGTTCAGTCCACAAGTACATTTACATTTCTCATACCTGGGCCATCCCAACAGTCAAGTTCAAGACAGCGACAACCTTGCAATAAAGCTCTTACATAAGCCTCAAGACTGGATTTGCCTTTCAGTTGCCGTCCAGTGAGATATGTGTTGTGAGATGAGTTGATGAAATAATCAGACAGTGGTTGATCCATGTCCTGTAATGGAGATAAGACTCAGATAACAATGTAAAAACTGAGATTTATTGCATTTCATTCCAAGTTTTTAATTTTGTGAAGCCCCTTTCACTTATTTAAAGTTCCTTCATGGTTTTTTTTTTTTTTAAATCAATTTTCAGGCAATCATGGCTAACATTTTTGTGTGAGAGCTTTGTGATATGCTTACAATGCATAACATTTGTGATGAGTTGGGTGTCATTGCAAACATCCCTTAGCAATATTGAGTAGAAAAGAAGGTCAATTAAAAAAACTGATTTTCAACATCTTACAAGGTCCATTACAAACTATTATTATAACATAACCAAAGTAAAGCGTGCACTCTGATTGCTCAATTTAGAGTCCCCCATTTGCCCATGGGTGTACGCTGCTGATGTGAGCAAATCCAAAGACTGTTTTTCCGCGCGCGCTTGTTTTTTCTGGTCACGTAAGATTTGTTAAATAAAAGGGAACTCTTTAGCTACAATGTATCAATGTTATGTTATAAAACAAATGGTAAACACCACAGCGTACACTATTGAGTTATGGATGCACTTGGGAGGTTTGCTAAGCACTCAAGAAGCTAGAGTCGCTCTTGGCTATCGCCTCGAGTGACTCTTATGCTTCTTTTGTGCTTAGCAACCTCCCGTGTACATCCATAACTCAATAGTGTACGCTGTGGTGTTTACCATTTGTTAATTATATTACTTACTAGGGAGAATGATCTCTGCTTAACTTTCACTCAACCACATTTCTAAGGGTGACTTAAGCAAAGCTGAAGCCCAAATGCACATTTATGTTCACATCAATGATAATCACTGATTCAGCTTAGTTAAAATCAAAAATTCCACGATAATGATATTTGAAATTACCCCCTCACCTGGTGAACAATTTTCTCTTCTGGATTGATAGAAGAGTTGTCTTCACTTCTAAGATAACTGAGATAAATAACAAATCTCTCAATAACTGCTACTAGTTTAAATTTTTTAGGTTAATTAATCTGAGGCTCCAAGATCTAATTGAGAAAAAAAAAAAAAAAAACCTTCGCTCAGGAATAATATATCAACCAAATTTAATTTAGCACAGGGAGGTAATTTATGACCAGAAACACATTTACCAAATAGGTTTGAATTATTGGCATGCCCAAGTTCACAAATTTGTTCTTTTTAAGTCTAAGGTTGTAAAAATTGATGACCTGTCTTCTAACAACAATTAAAAGAGTAGTTTGTGCAAGTACTGGTCAGGAACACGCCTTCTTGGTAGCAGCTAACTGTTTATTCACCTCAGAAATCCATGATACGATAGAAGAGATTTACTCAGTCTGAAAGAATCTGGATTGTCTCCTGCACATCTCTGCTTGTATATCATATGGAACTTGTCATGAGCTGACATCAGCTTTGCACAAGCAGCTAGACTGAGAGTTTCCTGTTCATAAAAAAGGATGTTACTTCACCTACATTATTACAGTAACTGTTTCAAAACTAATTTCTACATGCTTTCCATGCACATCCAATGGTGAGTTTTTACAAAATGCAAAACATTGCCCATTGGTATGTACATAATTATGTAGTTAGTTGTATTGTTGAAACTCCTTTTTGATGAAGTGAGGATTAGTCACACAAAACACGTAGGAGAAATAAAATGAGCTATATAACTACTTTTCTGCAGTGTACAGTTGACTGGCTTGACTTAAAAAAATAAAAACAGAAAATAGAAAAATTGGGTTGTGAGACTGCAGGGTGTGAACTGGGCCTTGGGCTGTACCCTCTGGGCCGCAGGCCATGAGGTTGGGGGTGGGTCATGGGTCTGCTTTTAGCAAAAGCCAGTAAAGAAGTCAAATTTTTAAATATTGAAATATTTCTTGAGATTTACCCCTTGCTCTCTGTGAAGAAATTCTGCAAACTCAGCTGGTGTCATACCAAGGTTGGGGGATTCCTTTGCATACTTACTAAATATCTTGTGCAACTGGTGAAAAAAAAAGGTTTAACAAAGTTATTATGGATTGACATTTGACATATTCCAAATTGTCATCACCTTTAATATCAATCAATATCTCCCTTATTAATAAAATATGTCTGCTCTGATTTTTCCGAGACACAATAAATTTAATAACTAATAAAAGACAATTTGTTGACATTACCAGGGCTTGACACTAACAGTAGCCAACAAGCCACAGACTATTAGAAATTCAGTTTTGGCTGATGGTTTTCAATTTCCACAAGCCAGTTTGCCCAGTAAAGAAACTGAAATTGTTATAACATCTAAGTTGTCACTAGCCACTTAATATTAGCTAGTAAGTTGAAAAGTTAGTGTGGAGCCCTGACTACTTTCTGACTTAAACATATCTACTGTAATTTGAGGACATACAATTTCCAAGGGTGATTACAAGAATTCATATATTGATCAGACAAGAATCCTGTGACTACAGTAGGTCTTGGAGTTTTCTATTTAACAGTCACTGTGTGAGAACTACAAGCTTTATAGCTTGGATTCTCAATTTAACATCAAATCACTGTTCTGGATAGTTTGAACATGACAGTTCAACCAAAATGTCAATGAATTTGGAGATAGAGGAAGAAAAAAGAATTGTTTTACAAAAACCTTTAAGTTAAGCTTAATCCTATTTCCTTCGCCTTGAATATAGAAACAACTCATAATCTTTAAGCAATAAATATCAGTGAGAGTTAATATTAACAGGAACTTCAATAACTTTCTGATGGTGTCATAGAAAGCTGTGGTTGTACTAGACAAAACCCAAACACAAGAGTGTGCTAAACAGATGGTGGTGAGATGTCTTATTAAGTGGTGGTAGAAAACTGGTGTCCAGGGTTTTCAAAATTTGCTGTATGAAAAAGTGGTGATCACTGGTGGGATTTTTTGGCCAGTGATCACTTGGTGAAGCACTACAGGCACTTCTGAGGTTACACACAAAAGATTGTTCAACACCTTTGAGCCTCCTCACTTGAAATTTCAGTCGGTAGGCCATTTTACAGTTGTGTACTTATAGTTGTCAAGCCTTTGATTTGGAAGTGAGGCTGAAGGTGACCTTGTCATGATAGAGACCTGTATCTAGTTAGAATGATAACAAAGTGATTTAAATTTGAAAAGCAGCAAGGTTTGTATCATAACAAGGTCACCCCTTGCCTCACTCCCATTAAAAGGTTTGGCAACAAAGCACACAACTGTAAAATGGACTAACATTAACTTTGAGTGAAACCCAGGGCCCGTACCAGTTACTTACCTTTGGTTGTTCATTGAGAGAGTTAAAAAGCATCACAAAGGAGTTCCACAGCAGATTCTCGTTGTGCTGAGCCATTCCACACTGTGTTTCAAGTACATCCTGTAAAACCAAAAAGACAAATGGAACATTTGAAAATGACAAAAAATTATTTCAATGAAAAGGAAAAGGAAAAATGCAAAATGTTTTGCAAACTGAAGCCTTACAAAAATAGTCACTGACCTTAATACAGTTTCTCATTAGTTTCCGTTTAGTGAGGCTGCAGCACTGTTGAGCAAATGACAGAGCCTGGTCCAATGAAATTCCCTTGCTACGCCTGGATGACATCACTGACCAGTGTCTTTTTAACCAGCTTTATATGCTGAGTCAAGGAAAAAAACTTAACACCTAGACAGAAGAGAAACTGTAAGAGGTATACCAATTTTGCATAACAAGTTTAGCCTCTTTTCACTTTGCCAAGACATCTACAATATCATGCAAGTGATCCCCTGAAAACTAATCAACTAAGAACACTAAAACAAACAAACTTAAAAGGATACAGCACAACTGGATCTACACCATCAAATTTGTGCCTGTTTACTCTTTGATCCTTGCTGTAAATAACCTCTCTCATCTAAAAGAAGTTTAAATTCAGCTACAAACAATGTCATAACTATAATTATATAAAAAAACTTAAAAAAAAAATTATACAGTTTGAAGCAAAAGAATAGCATGAAGTATTTGTCAAGGCAATATTTATTGCATCTGAATTTAAAAATATCTTAGACTAATGTAATCTAGCGGCAAAATTATGTGTAATAGTAAGGGAACTCTCTAACCAAATTTGCCCTTGATCTATACCAAGTGGTACCCTTGGAGACCAAAAATAATGTACCTTCAGTTAGTGGTAGGTTAGCAGTTAGTAGTAAGTATCAATAGTAATGCATCCCAACACCAACATTTTCTCTCTCTGGAAGTCTAACATTTGAGAATCACAGATTTAATCATGAAATACTCACTGCACTGGTCCACTTCTCATAAGCTTTTTCTGAGTCACAGATGAGATCCAAGGAACATAACTGACTCCATTCCCCTGTATGGAGAAAATACACAACTGTCAAAGAGCCATTGAAAAAAATTGCAAGGAAAAGCTTTGTTGACTAAATTTTGGGAGAGGATTTCTTCAGCCACAATTCCAGTAGTCATTGAAAAAGTTTCCCATGCTGTACTTTTCTGTTTTAGCCAGAGGTGAATAACAGCATACATATTTCTGACCTAAACAGTGTCAAGAAACTTTCTTGTCAAGACCAAGAAGTCCTATAATTATATATTTAAATTTAAGTATACATAAGTATGTTTTTGAAGTCTTTTCTACAAAATACGTTTACTATAATTATTATTTAAATGAGTCTGAGTTTGGACAAAAACATATCGAATATCACAGACTTGTGATAGAAACACATGATAAATGGTAGATCAATTTAATAAGCATGTCTAAATTTTTCTCAGCTGAAGTGTTCCTTAAAAATACACAGACACACAAACACCTTGTTGTTTCTCAAACATCAGTGAGAAAGACTGCTCTTCAACTTCAGTGTAAGGGAACTTCACAAAGTTCTTTGTCTGCTGGCCACAGCGTACCTCAATTACCCTGTCTAAATACACTGATAGAACATAACAAAAGACAACATCCATGTATGAAATATTCAGTATTCAGAAAAAAAAAATTTTTCAATCAAATTTGACCAACCAGGAAAATAAATTAAGAACCAAACTTACATGTGTTGGCAAAAGAAAAGCTATGACCTTTTCCTCTTTTTTTCCACATGATATGCTGTAAAATTGAATAACAGATACAATTTAAATAATAAATCCTTAATCACATAGTTTACACAAATAAAAATATAATTTTGTTTCCTTAGCTCCTAACATCCCCTTTCATTCTTACCAAGTTGTCTTTGTCAAGCTTAAAGACTCTTTCATGTGGAATTGACCTCCCAACTCGTGCATACTTTATCATTGGAAACTCCTGATGAAGCTCATTGGCAGCTGGACAATAATTAACAAAAAATGCAAGTTAGGATTGAGTAACCATCATGACATCAATAGATTGATCTACTGTAAATCCTCTACTAAGCCTCCCCCCCCATCTAATGAACCACCTCCCTCTAATAAATTAATCTAGCCCCCCACTGACCCCTCCCCCACAAAACACAAAAATTCAAAATAACACTCCATGTCAGTAAGTACAATAGATTTATTCAAGTACTGTAATTTTAGTTTGTCATTTGAAATTGATTATGGTGATTGATTGATTGATGTTATCATGTTGACATCAATAGAAGATGGTATACCGAAATTACAGAGCAATGCTAAAAATATAACATAGCTATACAAGGTCCATGACAAATCATACAACTCATCAGACTTTACTGAAAGTTTTGACTCTGCCCATTTGGTAAATGAAAAAATGTAAAATGAGAACAATTTTTGAATAAATGTGGTACATCATATCCTATTGTATCCTGGTAGTGAACATCAGGCTAAATTAATAAGCCCCCCCTCTGATAAGTCACCTCCCTAAAGTCCCTGAGTGAAATAAATAAGCCCTCCCAGGGAACTTACATATTTGAGGATTTACAGTAGACAATAAACATGATACCTAGCAGTAATTACACAATGTCTTAATTATAAATTCACATGTAATGTACATTATTTAAGTGAAGTGAAAGTGAGAGTGAATGTGAATGTGAATGTGAACGTGAGTGATTCAATATCTTAATAGCAGCTTAGGCTGAATTGCTAAGGTCTACAGTGTTACTAAGGTTGAGATCGGACATCAGCATTATCAGGCAGGCACCTCTGGCAGCCGCTTTAGTCCATGTAACGACCTCACCTTTTCCCCCCACACATCCCACCCCAGAGGAGGACATCCACCACACAGTAATCTCATGTGTGGGAAATTAACGTCTCCTACCCCTAACCCTGCGGAGACAGGACCTCCATTTTATTCGTTCTTATCCGAGAAGACTAGAATATCTATCCATTTCACTGATCTTATAGAAAGGTAGAAAATTCTCCTCAGTTATTTTAAGACCATGAGTATTGGTCCGGCCAGGGCTCGAACCCTAGACCTCCCGCACAACACAATCCGGCACTCTAACCAATGGAGCTAACCAATTATTCATCAACGGAAGTGAAGAGTAGTGGATATTTACCATGCCACTTAACAGTTCCATAAATATCTGCTACTTTCACTGTGACTGATGTGCATACTTGTTGTATAGTATATACCACACAGAAACCAAAAAGAGTTAGTTTATTTCTGATGATGTACCCAAAAAATTGGTCAGAGTTTAAAATTGTTGCTGCACAATTTTGTCTCCTCAGCTGCTCACTTCCAAACTAGGCAAGCAGCACACATGCAAATCACAAGTCACCTGTATGGTATGTACTAAATTGAGTTAGAACATAGCTAGCAGAGTCGCGCAATCAAATTCATTATACGTGAGCGTGCTCAAAATCCTGATAGTGCACGCTGATAGCGTCAGCAAATCCAACTTCGCCAGAAATTTTTTTTTCGTGCGAGCGGCCATTGTTAATGCAGGGAAAAATAATATATTTCGCGACAATAATGGATACAAACAGAAACGCGGCCTACTAATCCGAAAACAAAGACAATGTTTCGACCTTTTCCCTTGGGTTGAGTTCTTAAATGAGGCAGGAAAAGAGAAAAACAAAGGAAAAGGAGACTCAGCATCA